GGGGGGGGGGGGCGGGGGACAGTGATGACAAGGAGGGAAAAGGTTGGTGGGCAGAGCAGAGCATTTGAATCGGCAGTGCGGCAGGCAGCAGCGTAAAATTGCAATAAAATGGGCCCAAATTCTTCGCTAGCTCTCAGTTTTAATTTTAGAGTGTAAATCACAACGTGGCACGGGCGCCGTCCTCCACTTCCGACTTTGCCGTATATTTCTTTAATGCTGCGCACAACAATCAACGCGTCCCACCAGGCCATCAATGCCAATAATCCGCCTTCCGCCCTTCTTGGAGACACTTACCCCGCCGGTGCAGTCCTAAACTTTCAAGCCTTGTAGGCTCCCACCTCAGAACCTCAAGCTCTCCCACCGCCCCTCCTCCTGCGCCTGCACCCCGGTACCACACCCATGTCCTTCCACACGCCCCATTCGTCCCTCCCCTGTCCCGCCTCCGGCTCGCATGCCCCCAATCTATGATTCCCACACCGATTGCTCGACACGCACGCAAGCATTGCTACGCGCACAGATTCAAGATCAACTTCGACATGCCCAACCCACTCCACTTTTCGTCTACTACATACCCCGCAATCTCTCACCATTCCCCTATAAGTCCCTATCCCCGCTGTCCGCTGTCCTAGCGCGAAGCCTTAAACCTCAGTTAAGTCCCCAGCTCGGGCAGTAGAAATCGTCATACCAAAACAAAAAAAAGACAGCACGTGCCTCAATCATTGATTGCAATCATTCACACTCTATACACACGCACACATGCACGCCCCTTCCTTACCGCATTCCCTGTCTCTCAAGCTCTTCCATATCCCTTTGCCGATACATGTTGGCTTCGGCCCAAATCATTTGCCTCAACGCCGTCTTGCTCACCTTTTCCATATGATCGCACTCAAAGTTAAACACAGATGGACACACCGGCTCATCATACTCGTCGTGCAAATCAAGTAAGTAGGGATGCGTCAACGCCTGCTCTACTGTAATCCTCTGGCTCGGATTAAAAACCAGCATCCTTCCAAGAAGGTCCAGAAGCTGCTCATTCACATTTGGAAACAGCTCGCTCATCGACTTGCGCGGCTTGTTCATGAGATTTTGTTCCACAAATTGCCGCCCCTTCTCCGAGTTGATGGACGCCAAATCGCTCGGCGTCGGCGTCCCCGTCACATTCGTCACTAAGTGCAGTTGGTGCACGGTATCACGACCCGGGAACATGGGCCGTCTCAACAAGAGCTCGCCGATAATACACCCGACACTCCAAATGTCCACGGCCTTCGTGTAACCCCGATATGAAAGCATAATCTCCGGAGCACGGTACCACCGCGTAGCGACGTAAACAGTGAGGGCCTCGTGGTCGTTGGGGTCCCCCCTGGCGAGGCCAAAATCGCATATCTTGAGGTCGCAGTTCCCGTTTAGTAAGATGTTAGACGGCTTGAGGTCCCTATGCAACACATTGGCCGAGTGGATATGCTTCAAGGCCTTGAGAATCTGGTAAGTAAAGTATTGACAATGTTCGCCTTTAAGCTCCTGATTGCTCGAAATAATCTGATGCAAGTCGGTATCCATGAGTTCGGTGACGGTGTAGACATCCTGGAAGTTGGGCCCGTCCCTCGACGGCACATAGACATCCTTAATGCGAATGACATTATCATGGTCAAAATGCCTCAACAGCTTCATCTCCCTAAGCGTCCTCTTGGAGTCGATAACATTATCCACAATGCCTGCAATCTTCTTAATAGCGACCCTCTCATTCGTGCGCACATCCAGCGCGGAGCACACAATACCATAGGCGCCCTGCCCGACGGGCCGGTTCAAGTGGTAGCGATCGGGGCACTCGAAATTGGTGCCGAGCAGCGAGTAGCAGTGCGTAGCGAACGTTGAATGGGGTGGCGGGAGCGTCTGGGCGGCACCATCGACGTCCATGACGGCTTGCATCTTACCGCCGTAGGTCGGCGCTCGTCGTCGTCGTCGTCGTCGGGGCGGGGGGGGGGAAAGAGGGCGGGGCGTAGGGGTAATCCCTTTTCGAGGACGAAGAGATGGACACAGGGGGTGGCTCGAAGTGACGGCCCTTGGGACGGGGGCACAGGCTGGTACACGAGAGTATTTGACGGTGCGGCTATGGGACTGTGTCACGTTGGACTTTACAAAAAGGTGGCCTCGCGGTCGAGCAGCAATGCGTGGCGGCGATTGGGTGAATTGCGGATGTTTTTCGGGGAGCAATCAAGGCGATGCGGCACGTTCGGTTTCTTTACATTTTTTAGTTTATTACTGCCGCCGCAACGTGGCAGCCACCCATACCGCCCCCTCATGCCCCCCCACTGTAAACATCCCGTCATCCACTGATGTGTACTGTAATTCTTTTCTATTTCTCAATACCCAAGGTCAATACACAAACAAGCACAAGGAATCCGCCATCCCCAAGCCAAAACTCGTCTCCTACCCCACCACCCGGGTGAACTGCCGTTCCCTTCGTTCACCAACATGCCGTCAACATGCTGACTCTATATCAACCTCCCCGCTCCTTGCCACAGGCGCTCCTCTGTCCCCCTCCCCCCTCATTGCCATGACCTCCACCATGACGTCCACCATGCCCACATCCAGTGCCGCAGACGCGACTGCGTCAGTCCCGACTGCCACTCCCCGCCCGAAGCGCGGTCGTCGCAAAAAGCGCCCCGACCTCACCGAGTCCCAGCGCAAGGCCTTGCGCGCTCAGCAGAACCGCCAGGCCACGCGACGCTCTCGTGAGCGCTCCCGAAAGCGCGCAGAGATGCTCAAGGCCCAACTCATTCACTCGCTCCGCTTGAATTCCCTCCTCGTCGCAGAGCGACGTAAACTGCTCAACGCCGATGTCAAGGGGAATACCATGGAAGCCAAGGGCGGGAACAAAGAGGAGGGAGAGCGGAAGAATCCCATGAGCTTGGAGACCATCTTGAACCATGATGAGGGCGATGTGCAGCAGAGGGCACGCTTTCGCCATCGAGTCAGTGCGGCCCGCATTGCTGTCGATATACCAGCCCCGGTACCTGCTGCCACGTCAAAGCGATATGCGGAGCAAGGGGCTGTGTCTTTTTCGTCACCAGTTACTGCCACGCCCAACCACAGATAATGTCGTGGATGACAACATTAGCATTGGAGCCAATCCTAAGTTGACCTTGAACGAGTAAAACACACCATCACTACAGTTTATTCACATCATAAATTAGACTTGTGAGCGTCCGCTGCTGAGCGGATGAGTCTATCAACTTCCGTCCTGCTTATACAGCCAGGCTGGCAAATGTAGAGTACGTTCGCTTCAACTTCACAACTCCCGCCATACCCACGGGCTTCTTCCCGCGCTCTTGTTCTCCAAACGCTGCCGGCGGGATGATCGCCTCTTCATCTGCACCGCGCCCAAATCCTTCCAAAAGAAGCCAATTGTCCACGCATTGTCCGCTTGAGCCAAACGCTCGAACCCCGTGGTTTCGCTGCATGCCAAACCCGGACCGAGCCACTATCAGTTCTGCTATTACGTTCTCCCCAGGTTGTTCCAGCCAAAGCAACACGGGTCTCAAAAGTCTTCTCAACTTGTTCCTCAGCTCCACATCTTCAACATCATCCAATGTGGGGCTTGATACTGTTGCCCCACTAGGTACAGTCGCATCCTCGTCTTGCTCTTCGATATGCACCACGTTCTTGACGCATAGCGCAATGACATTGGCACCTGCACATATCGCAGATTGCTTTAGAAGAGGCACGGCGTGATGCAACAATTCGGCCACATCCACAGTCCGCTTCACCCATACCTCCCTGGTCAGAGGAATCCTTTGACATCGCAGAATACACTGAAACCGAGATTCAAGTGCATCTGACAACATACGACCATGTTGCGGAAGGCTGTTTGGAATAGCAACACTTTCTTCCGTGCTTGAAAGCAGCGCACTGACAGTCGCAAGCTGGTCAAAAAGATTTGTTTCCATTTGGCTCCCAACATCCTGGCTTAAACTTTCTACAACACATTCCAGGACCCCGCGCCTTGCTGCATCTGCTTGGTACCACTCTTCCCTTTCGCTGCTAACGGCGTCACTCTCCGGAGCCTCCATCGTCAACGCACTGGCCACGAAACCAAGGCTCTCCTCCATAGCCACCGCCGCGCCATAACCAACCACACCCGCAAC